GGAATGCAAGAGTCCTGAACCCTCCCCCCCACAAACACACAGTAATCATTAGACTACGTTGCTTTCTGGGGCAGGCATCCAACAGGGACTGGAAAGAGACCAGTGCAGAGAGAAAAGTCAGTAAGGAACTGCACCATGTGTGCACATCACCGTGGGATTGTTATTTACAGCTGTGTTAAAAGACAAGCCCAGACCCACATGACCAGTAGGTTATCTCAGATCCTTAAAACGCACCTTGTCAAGTAACTGCTGCTCACCGTTCATTTTAATTAACAAGCTCGCTTCTCCCCTGCTAAGCTCCCATGGGTGTTTTGCACACAGGACGCTGAACTCAGCGAGCAAGGGACTGCCCGGCAAGAACTCTTCACACCTGAGTAGCTCAAGACAGAACTAGGAAAGGAAATGAGCCGAATGGCATTCCCGTCCCACACCCCTCCCGCGACCCCACAGAACACACTCCAACACTACAGCATAGGAATTTAGGCAGCGTTTGGAAATTCCTTTGGTCACTAGGTTTTGGCCATGCTGGGGAAAGCACGCATTGACTTCACACACACAGGTACCAGTCACAGACCCTTCCACAGAGCAGCGGCAACTGACCACAGCATCTAAAAAGCAAGAGTAGCTTTTATCTGGAGATTGAATGGGAAGCCCCTAATCCAGCCACCATGTCAGCTCCCACCGGACACCTGTTAATCAGGCAAAGCCACCAACAATCACTGAACTTTTTGGGTACTCTCTTCTTCATCTGTGTCCACCCCCTCTCTTCTCCCATTGAGATCTTCCTTGGCCTTACAAAGCAGAAGGAAAAAATCCTTCTCTAATCTCTCCGGCTTGTTGACTACTCAACCCAGGGCCAGGGTTGTAGATTGGAAATCCAAGTTCCAGAAACACCAGGATTTTACCAGGCAATATGTTCTTGCTGGGATCTGAGTTGCCATTGGTCCAGACAGATGGGTTCTAGGTACAAGGGCAGCAGCGTATAGCAAGAGCAGAGATAAGAGGACTAGCATTGTGTTAATAGCCATTGTAGACTGACGATAATCATCACCATTCCTTCTATAGCGCTTTCCATCCACGGCCTGAAAATCTCCAGCCTGACAAGTGTAGCTTCACAACATCCTGGAGAAACAGGTAGCACATCAACACTCCTGCAGATCCCTCGAGACCCATTTCTGCCACATTGCCCACAAGTCAGCCAGTCGAGGTACACATTTGGGAATGACGGTTTTTATTCTGGTTGTGTTTTTTTATCCATCTCTCCTACCCTTACGGATGTTGCTTGGCTTCTTAGATTGTGATCTTATTGGGGGCAGGGAGTTGTGTATTGACAGCACCTGGTGGGTGGTACTGCAATGCACAGAATACATTTATCTTAATAGATGGGGAAACTGAGGCAGAGAGATTAAGGTCCACATTTTCAAAAAGTGGCCTCTAATTTTGGGTGTATCTGAATATAAGAACGGCCATACTGGGTTAGACCAAAGCCAGGTGCCCCAGAGGGAGTGAACCTAACAGGCAATGATCAAGTGATCTCTCTCCTGCCATCCATCTCCACCCTCTGGCAAACAGAGGCTAGGGACACTATTCCTTACCCATCCTGGCTAATAGCCATTAATAGACTTAACCTCCATGAATTTATCTAGTTCTCTTTTAAACCCTGTTATAGTCCTAGTCTTCACAACCTCCTCAGGAAAGGAGTTCCACAGGTTGACTCTGCGCTGTGTGAAGAACAACTTCCTTTTATTTATTTTAAACCTGCTGCCCATTCATTTCATTTGGTGGCCCCTATTTCTTATATTATGGGAACAAGTAAATAACTTTTTCTTTATTCACTTTCTCCATATCACTCATGATTTTATAGACCTCTATCATATCCCCCCTTAGTCGCCTCTTTTCCAAGCTGAAAAGTCCTGGCCTCTTTGGTGTTTTTTAGATACCCCATTTTAGACACCCAGGGTTGGATGTTCAGAGGCACTCAGCACCACTAGAATCCCGCCCTGGCAGTGCCACAATCCAGGCACTCAGCATTCGAGGCTGCTTTTGACAATTTGAGCTTGAGTGATTTCAGATTCATAGATTCTAAGGCCGGAAGGGACCATCAGATTATCTAGTCTCACCTCCTGGATAGCACAGGCCATTACATTTCACCCAGTTACCGCTGTATTGAGCTTAACTTCTGCTTGGCTAAAGCAAATCTTCCGGACAGGCAGCCAGTCTTGATTTGAAGAGAATCCACCACGTTCCTTGGTAGTTTGTTCCAATGGCTAATCCCCTTCACTGGGACAAATCTATGTCTTATGTTTAATTTGAATTGGTCTGGCTTCAGCTTCCAGCCATTAGTTCTTGCGTTGCCTTTCTCCGCTAGATTAAAGAGTCGTTTAGTACCTGCTATTTTCTCCCAGGAAGTTAGTCAGATACTGTAATCCTCCAAGGCTGCATAGGAAACCTGCAACAGAGCCAGGAACCCAGGCCTGTGCCTTTAACTGCAAGGCCATCCTTCCTCAGTGTTAGGTGAAGCTGCGTGTGGACTGCTTCCCCCCTCTGGAAGGGAGCCCTAATCTGCATTGGGCATTATACCCGTTTGGGCTCTGTAACTTCAGTTCAAACTAAAATCCATTCCGCTCCATTTACGCATGGAAACGTATGGACTTCTTCAGTTCCTCGAGCTGAAAACTTGGCAAGATTTCTAGTGCTAGATGAAGCTTGGAGGCTAAGCAGGAAAAAGGCCTGTGGAGAGCTAAAAAAGCTAGTCCTCTGCCTTCATCGCTGAGACTAGGGAGGCTGTGAAAGTGGTTTTGATGGCTAGGCAAAGAAGGGCTAGAGATCGTGGGTATTCCAGATGCGGTGTGGATGAGGCTAGTGTCTGTCTCTATCTAAGGGTACGTCTATACTACCCGCCGGATTGGCGGGTAGTGTTCAATGTATCGGGGATCGATTTATCACGTCTCGTCTAGACGCGATAAATCGATCCCCGAATCGACGCCCGTACTCCACCTTGGCAGGAGGAGTAAGCGGAGTCGACGGGGGAGCCGTGGCAGTCGACTCGCCGCCGTGAGGACGGCCAGGTAAGTCGAACTAAGATACTTCGAACCCCCCCTCTAGTGTAACTCAGGCCCAATACCAACTTTAGGTTCCACAGGGGAGTTCAGAAATTGACCCTTGGTCTAATGTTGTGGGCTGGGCTAACAAAGAACCCTACCAGGCTCTTAGTTGGGATTCCTTGGTCTTCACACAGAACATGACCCTGCGCTTTTGACGGGACTCAGACATGTGGCTTTTTGCAGAGTTGCCTGAATACCTTCTGGACAGGGCAGAGCCTGCGTGAGGACTGGCGAGCATTCTGGATGGACTGCCTGGCTGTAGAAGAACGGTGCTTATCCTGCAGCTGCCCCTCTTTAGGGTTCCTGTACACCCAGGAGCAGTACAGGAAGTGGAGGGTAGGGCGTGAATACAGAGGGATGGGAAGTCCTTGGTTTAAGGTGCTGACAGGGCAGCAGTCATGGATATACGGAGACAAGGTCCCCATTAAAGAACTTCTTGGCTCTGCCCACAGAGAGGACAGTGTGCATGTTGCACCAGGCATCTGAATGGCATTGGCTGTGTACTGTGGGGTCTCTCTTAGGTGCCCCACATGCGAAAGCTTGCCCCAATGATCGAATGAAGGGGACTAGATCCAGAGGGAATTCACTTCTGTCAGCTCTTCCCCCGGCACAGTCTGAGGCACGTACTTATTTCAGCAGGGTGCCTCTGTCTTGTAATGTGCCATGTACTATTGTAGCACGAATACATACGCTGCAGCCCCTGGGGAGGCAGGGAACGAGCATCCCAATAAGGCTCACACCACCTGGGCACGGTGAATACTGAGTGTTGGACTGGCTCTCTCATCAGATCCATGATTTCGATACACCTCCCCTGGCACAAAGCAACTCCTCCTCCAAGAGTGTGGTATCGTATCCAGCTGAGTCCAGATGGCCAAAGCCCCTGTAGTTTGGAAGACTTCTACCGTCCTGGATGGAACTGCCATTTCTGCTCCAGATTTTATTAGCCAGTCTCCCACGTGGGCTATCACAGATCCCTTCTTGTCTGAGGCCGCCTTTGTTCATCACACTCAGCTTGGTGGAGCTGCAAGGTGCCGATGTTAGGATGACCACTGGTGCACAGAACCGGACATATAGTTCCCCATCTGTGATTGGTAAAAATCCTGCCTGGGGAGGGGATGTGGAGGCTTGGATCTCAAGTCAAATGTGGTGAAGAAATCTCCTTAAACAACTTTCTGGCTGTGGTCACGGAATTGAGTGTATTTCCTCGGGGAGTGACACTAATGGCTGGGGCGTTCCTGGTCTGTATTGCAAGTTCTGTTCTTTCCCCCTCTGGGAGAACAGGGACACTAAGTGGCTTAGACCCCTTTGGGCTCAAGCTCAGAGCTTTGCAGACCTGTCTTCGGTTCACATCACTCATTTTACTGTGACTCTAGCTACTGGCTGTTCTTCCATCTCCATCTTCTAGGGGGAAAAGTTAACTGAAGCAAAGAGCCTGCTGGGGGCCACACCTCCTATAGGAATTATACACGTTCTGTGACAGAAGGAGACAAAGCTATATGCTGCCTTTCTGGCAGAGAGTGAGTAGCAAGTATCTGTCCTGCCACCTGGAGGCTCTGGGGCTGTGCTCTGCATCCAGTTCAGAGCTCTGGCTCCAGACCTGTCCCCCTTGGCACTCAGAGAGGAAGCCCAGAAGGCTTCTGAATGCCTTCTCCCCGTAATATGGGCCTGAAGGACTCAGCAACGGAGAACCGCCTGCACATAGTTTACCCATCCCTCCTGCCGGGCCTCCATCTCAGCAGCCATGTTTTCCATGGCTCCTTCCTGAGGTGGATCTGCCTCTGGGGATGTGGCTGGGAGTGATGGAGCAAATACTAGCGACAAGAGGGGAGCAGAAGGCACCAAATATTGCTCTGCGATTGCTGGTGGCTCTGCCTGAGTGGCAGGGCAGGAGCAGGAACCCTTCTTCTCTCTACTGGTGGCAACTACAACGTCCCCTGTGGGCTTCTGGTAGTGCCAACCCTCCCACTGGAGTTGGGCCAGGCTGGTCTGTGGGGCAGAATGAACTAGCCCTTCGAAGCTTAGGGAGCCGATTTCCAGAAGTGCTGAATGCTCCTGCCGCTCCTATTGACTAGTGGGAGCAATGAATGGTCAGCACCTCTGAAAACTAGACTTGCCCCTATCCACCTCCAACCCCAAGAGAGGGAAAATCCACACACTGCATAGCACAGTCATCAGAAAGCAATACAACATTAGCGGTCATCTCCATTTCTTTGTTTTTATCTCTTGCAAATAGAGTCAACAAAGCTACACATTTTCCACACACCAGCATAATTTTAGAAAAAAGGGGAAAAAAATCAAATCAAATAAAAAGCGATGATCTTAAGAGCGATCGCAACTAAAGGAAGAAAACAAATGTATACAAGAGATTAGAGCTATGTACAGTGACAGGTTTGAGGGGGAAAAAATAAGCTATCTCCCATCAGAGAGTTGAATTTTTATTATTTTTATTATTATTTTAAATAGTTTAAGCTACCTCAGCTGTTAAGCACAATCAAAGCAGAAAAAAACCAACTGCTTAATTTTATTTAATATTTAATCAGAAAAATTTTATCTACAATAATTGACAGAACCCTCCCCCCTCCTCCTCATCCTTTCCCCTAAAAATTATTGCAGCTTTTCCCCCCAAACTGTTCTTTTTTTTGTCTTTTTATTATTATTTTCCCCCTGATGTAATATACACATTGTGGCCTCTCTCGCTAGGAGGCTTTAAACACCAGCATAAAACATGGAAAAAATGGTGGGTCAAAATACTCTCTGTTTTTCTTTAAAACTGACAAACTCACGATTGCTAGAAAAAGCTGATTGTACGCACAAGCGGACTGGGGCAGAGGGGAGAAAAGGTGTTTGGGTTTTTTAAGCATGAATAAAAACAGCCTTTCTGATAGAAGTCCGGTGTCTTTCCCCACCTTCCCACTGGGCTGAGACATGAATCAGTGACAGATCCAGCTGAAACTGAGATGATCTTCCTCCTTCCGAAGCAGTCTCTTTCAACTCGCTTCTTCCTCCATCCCCTTCCCCACTTCCCCGAGAAACCTTCGTCTGGAGTAAGATGCCAGCAACTGATTACAAAAATAAGAATCATCTGTAATTTTGGCTCAAGAAACCGACTGTCCTGCCTTGTCGCTTTGCCAACATCCAATGCCTTTTACAAAAACAAACAAACAAAAAACCCCCCCGAAAGACAAAACAAAACAAAAAAAACCCCAAAACAAAAAAACCTTTTTGCTCCAAACACTACGAGCTGAAGAATGGCTGCAGTTTGAGATATCAAAAATCTCAGAAAAATATATAATATATATATATATTTATATATCTCTGTATGTCTTATTATTTAAATTTCACATTCCTTTAAAAGCGGTTATTCAGTCAGTAGCTGCTGAAGGAGGCTCTTCTGCTGGGCCTGAGGGGTCTGAGGACCTGTCGTGCTTTTCTGCGAGCCCATTGGACCAGGCTGGTTCAGGTAAGGATCTCCACCTACCAGATTCACTGTACACTGCACGTCAGCAAACACCTGAACCTGTTGTACCTGCTGGGACACAAAAGACAAGAGAGATTTTTAGAGGAAAAAAGGAACAGGCTCCTTGGCTTATGGACTGGGTACTACGTGAAGTGGAAACTCACTAGAGAATTCCTCTAGTCTGTAGTCACCACAGAGAAGAACTCTTCTGTCTTCTTTTCCTATAAAAAGAAAACTACTGCACTCATTTGGATCAGAGCTCTGAAAGATTCACACGTTTTTAAATTAAAAAAAAAAAAAAATTGGCATTCCCATGTCTCCAGCTGCCGGCCGGCCAGCCATCACTCTGTGCTGAGAGCCATCTTGTCCGTGACACCTGCTCTGAGGGGAGCACAGTATCAAAGGCTGGAAACCCCTTCAACTGCAGTCAAATAGACCAGAGGCACAAGGTAAAATGCTTATGCTGTGCTGCTGAATAGGGTACATCATGGCATCCCACTCACTGCAAGGGAATATCAAAGGGTCAATACTAAGGTAGAGTTAGGTCCAAAATTGAAGTGTTCCAGAACCTAGGGGCAGGACACATTTTCCTTCTTTATTTATTCCAATAAAAATAGGATTTGTTTTGTTTGGGTGTTAACATTTCCCTACAGTCTTTGCAAATCAAACACTGCAGGATCCTGCCAATGCTTAAGAGCCACAAAGTGAAACTGACCAGGAAATTAAAAGTGTGAAATTGATTAGTTGATTTTCATTGTCCAAACTGAGCAAAATGAAAAAATAAAAACCAAACAGCATCTGTGGTGACAGGTACAATTGATTTGTAATACTTAATGGGTTATTCATAAAACACAAGGAGGCACATAAATACATATTTAAAACAAAATAAAAGTTATTAACCATTTTGAAAACGGTAACCAGCCCAGGGGCAAAAATCTACTCACCCACGCTTTTTAAGGATAATGCTACTGAAAAATGTATACTGTTTGATGCTCTTTTATAAGCCCATCAAAAGCCCACAATTCCTTGCCCCGGGCAAGCAGAATTTTGCAAGACTGACTGCACACAAGAGCAGCACGAGGTGCAATTAGAGTTCACCAGCAAACAGGGGAAACAAAGAGAACTTCATATTGAAGCAGAACACGTCATCTCTAAACAAACTGGTAGAAGGCTGGTTCTTTCCAGACTGCTGGCCAGATGCATGCGCTGCGCTGAAACTGGCAGTACTGCAAGGCAGAATGGCAATACTTGGCCCAAGATACTCAAAAGTTGCTCATTATTTTGCGTTTCCAACTTAAGACACCTTAAAAGGGCCTGATTTGCAGAAAGTGCTGAGCCCCTTTCTCTGAACAGACCAAATCGAGCTCAGACTCCTCCCAACATAGCACTAAGCGCACACTGATCCATTATGAAGGGGCTCGTGATCAACACATTGTGTCCCAGAGACAAGGATTCTGACTGCAAATGTTCCCATAGTTCTACGAGCAAGTCCTGCCCTTCCAAAGCAGAAACCTCTCTCATTTGTCACTGTACCTGGGGCCAGCCTCAGAGCAGATAAGGATTTTAGCGACTCCTGTCTCTCCAATGTCCAATTACTTTTCCAGCTCAACTCACTGCACTGACTGTGCTCCCCACACTGCTGGGGACACTTCCCCTTCCTGCCAGAGCAACGAGGTTTGATCCACGCAGGCTTAAATCAGAGCAGGAGAATAAAGCAAGATTTCTGAGGCAGGTGGTTGTCATCAAGTGCAGATTCTAGCTCCACGCTACACAGAAAATAGAAGGCCCTACTGGGTTGAGCCCTGCAATTTATTCTCTGCCACTACAGAAACCTTCCCTGATGGCAAACCCGCTGATAAAATAGGTGCAAGAAGTTTACAGTTACTGAGGTGAGCAACCCAGACATGTCAAACGTCTCCTCTTTGTACCTCAGATGGGTCTGTGCTTAGGAGTTTCTTACTGACCTGCGCCCCATCTGCTTCTGTTTTCAAAAGGTCAGTGGAGGAAAGTTGGTTGCAGTAAAGGCCGGTGGGTCTCAGCGCTGGGTCATTTACCTGTCAAAGCAAGGTCAAGGCTCAGTGATGGTTCACCTACTTTCTCTCCCCAGTGCCCCATCCTCCTGTGTCAACTCTGCAGAAAGTGAGGGATCCCAGGAGAGCTCTAGCATTGGGTTGTGTATGTGCAGCCTACATGCTGGCCCGCTCTACGTGACAGGCTGGAATGGCCTCGGGGAAGTAGTTGAGTGGGACATTGTGGGACTAAGCTTGTTTATTACAGCGTTCTTTTGCTTTGCCTCACAAAAGGCGAACAACAGAATTTCTGAGCCAAGGAGAGATTTAGAAATGCTGGGCTCCTTTTCCCCATCACTACTTCCCTGATCTTTTCCCACCCCCTCCTCCCCAAGCTACAGCTTCTGCCATTTTAACCTTCTAGGGGTGCAGGGAGCACAGTTCCTTCTCCTCTCCCAGCTTTAACCATGCTGTGGATACCGTGGTGAGAGAGGCGTGGATGCCAGGGCAGGGCTGCAGACCTGGTTCTGGTGCTGACAGAGCCTGAGCAGCACTCCTGACTCCGCAGGCAGCGTCGGGAGCAGCTCACTCCCTGCTGCAAGTTGCTAGGGAGTGTTTTAATTAAAGCAATACAACCAAGCGGATGGCTGGGGCTCCCTGAGTTCCTTCCATCAAGCCCAGCCTCTCAGCGCCCCCGCTGTACGAGATGGCTCACTCCATTTGCTGAAGCAGAATGAAGCCATGGAGGGGCTGCCAAGCTGGTTTGCTTCACTGACCGCACTCTGGACTAAGATTATCCAAGTGAGTTCTTTCTGAGGAGAGCTCCCTTGTGCCCACCACTTGGGCTGCTGGTGGTTCCCTACAGCATCTTCTCTCCGGGGAGTGGGAAACTCCACTGAACTGACAGGAGGGGCAGAACAAACAGCTCAGCCTCCATATTGCTTCCAGACTGATGCGTCAATGACACCAGGGACTAATCCTGTGCTAGCCAGGTCACGATGACCTAAATCTGGCCTACGAAGCAGGGCTTGAGTCAGTGCGTCTTCAAACCAGGCTCCCTCGGTTCCCAGCTCACTCTACAGCAAATGCACAATTAGGGCTGGTTTCCAAACTGTTTAATGCAGCCATAACGAGCCGTTCAGAAAGCCCCCGTGACTGAATCCCTTCGGAACAGGCTGGGAGAGGTCAGCTGTTGGAGGCATGGCTCGGAGAAGCTTTAAGTGCAGACAGACAAATGCTCCCAGATGAAACTAATTAAAGGCGATTCTGCCAAGAGCAATACAGCGCAGATCCCTCTCGTCACGCAATGGATCCCAAAGGTGCTTTACCACATTCTTGAGTCACAAACCCAAACAGCTAAAGCCCCTTCTGGACCTGCGAGATCTCAGGTCTGGCCCTGGAAACAGAGAGAGAATCTCCCTCAGACTGAATGGTTACTAAAGAGGCCTACTACTCGCCACAAAGCAGCACTGGACAAGACTGTACTTGGCCCTTGGTGCAGGCATGAGGGCATGTGCAAGCAACTTCCCTTGCCACTTGCACGCCCCCACCACAACAGCAGTGTGGGTGGGGACTGCTCACTCCTTGGTCCTTGGTCACGCAAGTTACTTGGAAAGAGCTGAGGAGGAGATGGAGCCACTACTTGGCACTGGTGAGGCCTCATCTGGAGTACAGCATCCACTTCTGGGCACCATTCTTTAAGAAAGATGTGGATAAACTGGAGTGAATCCAGAGGACAGCAACACAAATGATCAAAGGTTTGGAAAACCTGGCCTATGAGGAAAGGTTACAAAAACTGGGCCTGTTTAGTCTTGAGAAAAGAAGCCTGAGGAGGGGACATAACTGTCTTCAAATACATAAACAGCTGTTCTAAAAAGAGGAAGGGAATCAATTGTCCTCCATGGCCACTGAAGGTAGGACAAGAAGTAGTGGGCTTAATCTGCAGCAAGGGAAATTTAGATTAGATATTAGGAAAAGCTCTGGAATGGGCTTCCAAGGGAGGTTGTGGAACCCCCATCCTTGGACGTGTTTAAGAACAGGTGGGACAAACACTTGTCAAGGATGGTCTAGGGTTGCTTGGTCCTGCCACAGCTCAGGGGCCTGGATTAGATGACTTCTTGAGGTCCCTTTCAACCCTATGTTTCTATGATTCTAGAATCCCTCCCACCACTAGGGGAAGCAATCTGCACCATCCTTACAGATGATGCAAAGTGAGCAGTTGCATACACCAAACATCCTGGAAGAGACTGTACCCCTGGAGGCAGAATCTCTCCCAGTGCTCCCTCCGTGCTGGTGCAGCTCCACACTGCTTTCTAGCAGGACTCAGTGCAAACTGCACCTCCTAGCCCTCAGTGTGCACAGGTGGGTAGTGAATCAGCTTGTTCTCCGGCACCCGCACTACTCTGCACAGACACTGAAGGGATGGTCTCCTGAAATGAGTTCCTAGGGGCATGAGTGCTATAGCTAACTGCGGCCAGGAGACCTCTCTGACCATTTCGGAGTGTCACAACAGGAGATCCATATCTGCCTGGCTCCAAGGGATGCGTGTGCACATGTATCTGTCTGTGTTCACTTTTATACCATCATCCTCTGTGACTGAAGGTTGTTGCAGAAGCTGGCTGTAGCGGGCAAGGGTAGGAGTCAGCCCTGGTGTAACCAGGGGTCATGCTATTGACTTCAGTGCGAGTGGTGTCAGCTGGCCCTGGGACTGAATTTGATCCAAAGGCTCTAGAAAGAACGGCGAGTTTCCATGGTACTGAACTGGTTATTACACCAGTTACTTACTGGTTATTAACAGGAGGGATCCTGCTTTAGAAAAAGATACTTAACAAGGATTTGGTGACTTCTAGAAGACAAGGTCCAAAGCCAGCCCACTGGCCTCGTACCTTACCCAAGCGGACATACTGCATCTGAAGGAGCCATCACTTTACACTCAGACATTTTTGGCTGGGAATTTTGAAAGTGTTCAGCCCCGCCCCCACTGACATCATGGGAGTTGTACCAATCTAGACCCACCACCTGGGGACGTCCTGGGTGTGTCTAAATATGAACAAATCTGCCTCATCTTCCCATGAAATGTCAAGTTCTCCTTGATTCGCAGTGAGGAATCCTCAGCGCACACTCGGGGGCTACAGGAGGCATTGGCAGCTGGGAACTCTCAGTGCAGCCACCGCTCTCTTTGCAGAGTTGAATGCGCGCCCGTCAGCTCCTGGTGAGCTGATGTAACTATCTCATAATTTGACTAATCCGGTGTCTGTTGCACCAGGCTTCAAAACACAGCTAAGCTTACAACTGTGGGTGCCAGTGAAGCGAGAGAGGCCTCTGCTTGCTTCCCTCCAGCCCTTTGCTCCAGTGTCACACACCTAACTGTACTACGGGAAATAGGTCCCTGCCTCTCAAGCACAGGAAGGAGATAAGCTAAAGGTAAACATCCCAGAGAAAAGGGAGATCACCAGGGACATTTTTTTAAGTCTGCACAAAAGCACCAAATGACTCATGAGCCAGGATTTCCAGGCACCCAGCATGCTAGACAACAGGCGGCAGAGGTAGGGGTGTGCATGATGCAGAGTGCTGGGGAGTGATAGCAACAAGCATCTGGTATGCAAACCCCTGGAACACAAAGCTTAAACGCAATAAATCCATTAGCTCCTTGGCTCAGGGAGTCGGGCAATTCCCAGGGAGAGCACCACAAAGTTAGTGTGGGACACATGCGCCTCACCAATGGAGAAAGCTACAGAAACAAATTCACCTAACAAGGGCAGAGACCTGTTCAGAGAAACCCCCCCTCCCCCAGCGGAGTGACGTCATCGCTGTTCGTGCTCCTGGAGTGCCTGGTGAACGAGAACGCTGCAGCACTGACCTGCTCAGAGCACATGGAGTTCATCCCGGGCATTTGCAGTGAGCTCATCTGCATTTGTCCAGTCATTGGATTCATGTTCTGGACGTTCGTGTTTCCTCCAGCCATGGACACGGTGATGCTCATGTTGTTGTACATTCCCTGCTGCGCAGGTGTGGGCTGGTTCTGCCCAGGTTGGCTGAATACACTGTTAAACCAGACAAAAAAATAAAGAGGGATTACACAGAGTCAGGAGTTCAGAGAGGCCAGAGCTCGGTTTCCAGTTGTAACATGGAGAGTGACTCCAGCAACAGGCATCCTTGCAGAAATGGAACCACAGAGATGTCTGTAACAGAGAAGGAAGGGGAGGGTGTGTGTGGGGGTAATGGATCTGGAGTGATAAAGGCTTTTTTAAAAATAGCTGATGCAATGTTTGCAGCAGACAGATCTCTGTGGCTTATTTTCCCCTGGGGAGGAATTTCATGACTTCCTGCTTCTATCTACTGAAGAAAATACCACCCTTCTGGAAATGTCCTATAGAATTTAACATAGAGTGATCCTTTCCCCAAGAATGTTTAAACCAACTTACAGAATTCGATAGCAGGGATAACATTAAACTCCATCAGCTGCTTTAAAAGTTCTCTACAAAGGATCTCATGGTCTTAAGAGCAGTGTCTATAAAATCTCACTTAGTTTCTAAAAAACCTCATTGCTTTCTTCCCTTTAAATCCCACAAGTAAAAGGCCAAATCCTGCTCTCAGAGGTGTGTGATGAAGTCACTGGGAGTTGCAAGTACTCTCCTGCAAATGGACCCCTAAAAATACAGCTGTACATTTACAAAAGTCCAAATGGAAAGTATAACGGTGTGATGATTTGAAGGCTCTGTCTGTGCAACTTATGAATTCTGGTTGATATGGGTGGAGTTATCACAAAATTGCCGCATCGTGGAAAGCCTAGGTCTATGGGTCCACTCACTGTGGCATATGAGGCTGGATGCAGGTCTCTGCCAGAACAGGGAGACTAGGCAATAGGTTAAGGGCTATCAGCACCTGAATAGGTCTTACCTGGGCAGAAAAAAAAAGAGTAACTGCATCCTAGGGGAAAGCAGTTCCCTCCACCTTCCCTCTGCCAGAGTTGGCATTTGGAACAGCAGAAAATCCCCAAATGCGAAACAAAGACACCACAGAGAGACACTTAGGATGTTTGGGAAGCGGATGGACAGACTCCATGTTTCAGTCCATAAACCATGCACTGGAACAGAAGGATGCTGGATGGCCCCTAGCCCCAGCCCAAAGAATGCACTGGAGTAGTAAGGAAACTGAGGCAGGAAAATACATGTAGGATATATTATTTTGTACAGATCTGTGTATTTCTTGGGTTATTAAGTAAAGAGCAACAATGCTGTAAAACTCTGGGCAGTGTCTGCATGTGTTCTGTGCTACACGTACCACATGGCCCCTTGAAGAGAGAAACCAGAAGGCTAACACCTTTGGTGAGATTTTGGGAGAGAGTGTGCTTAAGTTACTGGGATATCTTGGGGGTCAGTGCTGGACCTGTGGGCCCAAGACAGGTGGGTTGGGCGAGGGATAACAGAGAGTTGATGCCCAGGAAGTGTGCCAGAGAGGCCACGAGAAGAAACAGGCCTGCAGCCTGCTGAGACCCAGGAAAGCTTAAAACAGGTGAGGGAGTCAGTGTTTGGATCCCCTCACAACACTCTGGGCCACTAGCAGGGGGGGCCTGACCAGACCTGTGTCTGGTAATCCATGGACATTAGTAACCTGTGTAAGTATCATATAGGATACAAGAAAAACACTTCAGCCAATCACCAGCCAGAAAAATCTAACTTCCTCCTTTCACCAAGCATGGTGACGCTGTCAAAAGGTGTCCAATCACATCACCCCTCATCCCCATTGAGCCTGACTCTCGATCTCGCTGCCTGTGCTCCAGCCCAATGAGGCCCAGATTCAGCCAAGCTCTCAAGCAAGTGCTTAAATGTCATTGGCTTTGACGAAATGGAAGCACACGCTTAAGGGCTCTAGTGAATCCAAGAACCCCCTCTCCTCATTCAACTGCCTCCTTAATGCTGCTGCCAACACTGGAAAGCAGCGGTTCCCGGACTTGTCACTAAGGTGCCCTGCCAGCCACATTTTGTCTTTTTTTTGTTTTGTGACCCACCGTTATATACATGTACCCTTCACCTGGCATCGCCCAGAATGGACTGGAGAGCGAGTCTGCCCTGCACTCACCCCACAGCAGCGGCTCCTGTCCCGCGGGGCTGGGCATAGCAACGGGGTCACAGCAGCACTCAGATTTGGCCCACCTGCCCCTCCATCATAGCCAGACCGGAGTGGCACTGCAACCCCATGCACCAGGTCACAACACCACTCACTTGAATTTGTCCCAGAGGAGTGGCCAGGCCAAACCTAAGTGGCACTGTGACCACGTGTGCCACGTCGTGATGTTCGGAGTGGGGAGCCAGGACAGGAGCTGCTGCTGGCGGGTGAGTGTGGGGCAGGCTCACTCCAGCCCCACCCGGGAGCCCCTCCACACCGGGGCGGGAGAAGTCTATAGTTGCCTAGGGCCCCGCGACCCACTGGTGGGTCAGGACTGATCATTTGAGAAACACTTCTATATAGCATTTACACATATAGCTCCAGGAAAATCCGTCAGCAATGACCCCTACAGAAAGGGAGGAAGGAAATGGTACAGTGCCTGGACTGGACCTTCATCCAGAGCATTATGGACCTGATCCATCCAAGTCAGTGGGAGGCTCTCCATTGACTTCAGTGCGTGTTAGATCAGATCGTGTCTTTCTACCCGCCCCCGACACCAGTCCTCAGCTGTATAGTCTGTGGAAGATCCAAGAGGCAGCTCGGCTCTTGCAAGAGGAGAGAGAATACAATAATAAAATGCCCTGCTCTGGTTTGCTGTCTAACAGCCATAATCTGTATTGCTTTGCAGCACGCCAACAAACAGCCTCCGAGATTGATTAAATGCCCAAGTGCAGCTGAGCACCTTAATCAATCTGGGCAGCCGTTTATTGCTTCATATATAACAAAGAGATTGAGATTATCCCCTAATTGGAGCAACTGCACTGGAGCCGTTCTGCACTGTATCAGCCTGAAACCAAATCAATGAAGCGATTCTTCTGTCTCGGCCAAATTACCGAGCAAATGAAACGAGAAGACAGGCTTGTTTGGAATTCATGGTGGAGAACACAAAAATCATCCGTGACCTTCTAGTTCCATGGACTCCCGGGGTACGTCTGGGTTCCGTCTGCCAAATCGCTCTAACCATCTCACCAAAACACACTTCTCACCCAACACCCACAAAAATCAGCCACCAAGTAGAGCTGTCAACCAACCATTGTCCCTCCAAAGCTTTTTCTGACAGGTTAAAGAGCCCTTTCGCATCAGGCACTTCTTGTGGCGGTTCTGTTCTTACAGACTGGGATTAAGCTGCCTCTTCTCTTCCTCTTCAACCAGCTAGACAGATTGAGCTCCTTTAGTCTCTCACTGCGAGGCGAGTTTTCCAGCCCTCGCATCATTTGTATGGCTCTTCTCTGAGCGCTCTTCAATTTTTCGACCTCCTTTTTAACGTAGGCACACCAGAAGTGGGGACAGTGTTCCAGCAGAGATCTCCCCAGTTGTATCCCGAGATCACATCCCCTCTCTAATCCTGCTCAGTATTCCCTGTGAATTGTACCCCTGGGTCCCACTCCCTCTCTACTGCTTGTCTTGTTGGGTCAGGTCTGAGATTTAGATTGTTGCTCTCTGGAGCAGGGACCATGTCTTCTAACATCTTGTGCTGTTTACAATAATAAACAGCAGCAATATTAATAATACATTTGTAATAGGATCCTGGGCCTTGGGGTGCACAGGCCCATCGCATTACAGTGCTTGGGCCCTTTAAGAGCAGCACATTCTGGGAAATGCAGTTCCACAGGACAGACTGAGAACCCGGAGACCATATGGCCAGGGAACTGTCTAAGGGATAGCCTGAGCTCCGGAGAAGGGACATGAGGGCTGAAGGGCTGCTGAGAGGGTTTTGAGTTGCCTGCTCTGTTTCGGAATAAAGCGAGCCCTGAAATAAAGGACATAAAGTGATTTGTTGGAGTTTGTGGAATGCATAAACAGGGCATTGAGTAGGAGAGAGGTTATTTTACCTCTGTACTTGGCCCTGGTGCAACTGCTACTGGAATACTGTGTCCCGTACTAGTGCCCACAATTCAAGAAGGATGTTGATAAATTGGAGAGGGGTCAGAGAAGAGCCATGAGAATGATTAAAGGATTAGAAAACCTGCCTTAAAGAGAGAGACTCAAGGAGCTCAATCTACTTAGTTTAATAAGCAAAGTTAAGGGGTGACTTGATCACAATCTATAAATATCTATATGGGGAACAAATATTTAATAATGGTTTCTTCAATTTAGCAGAGAAAGATGTAACCTAATCCAATGGCTGGAAGTTGAAACTAGACAAATTCAGACGGCAAATAAGGCATACTTTTTTCAACAGTGAGTGTAATTAACCATTGGATCAATCTACCAAGGGTTGTAGTGACAATTTTTAAATCCAGATGGGATGTTTTTCTAAAAGCTGTGCTCTAGGAATTATTATGGGGAAGTTACCTGCTGTATCCCACAGGACAGAGAAGACCAGATGATCACAATGATTCTGGCCTTGGAATCTATGAATCCATTAATTTATTTTTTGTTTCATCAGCTGGGGAATCTACCCTTCAGTTTACAACACTGTAACCCATTAACCACAAAAGCTAGCATCTGAGCATGAAACACAGCAGTTTAAAAAACTCAAAGGATGGTTCATTCTGATGCTGAAATCTACCTGCTGGAGGATCCTGCAAAAACCAAAAACCCCAGAGCAGGTGAGATTCCAGTAGGACACACCCTCCTTTCCATCTGTGTGATGGGGAGGGCTACTCCCGGCACTTACATTCAGGGTTGAGTCCTGCATGGCCTTCAAGGAACATACAGCAAGAAACATGGAAAAAGCCCTAACTGGTTTCTGCTATCCCAGTTCATCAGCTCTGAGCAGTGAACATAAGAACGGCCACACTGAGTTAGACTAAAGGTCCATCTAGCCCAGTATCCTGTCTTCCGACAGTGGCCAATGCCAGGTGTCCCAGAGGAAATGAACAGAACAGAGAATCATCAAGTGATCCACCCCCTGTCGCCCATTCCCAGCTTCTGGCAAACAGATGCTAGGGACACCATCCCTGCCCATCCTGGCTAATAGCCATTGATGGACCTATCCTCCATGAACTTATCTGGTTCTTTTTTTAAACCCTGTTATAGTCTTGGCCTTCACAACATCCTCTGGCAAGAAGTTCCACAGATTGACGGTGCATTGTGTGAAGAGAGACTTCCTTTTGTTTGTTTTAAACCTGCTGCCTATTAATTTCATTGGGTGACCCCTAGTTCTTGTGTTATGAGAAGTGCAATGTGTCCAGTTTATATGAGGTGCTGCCACTATCAAAGTCTTTAGTGGGAGGGGCAAGATTGATAGGAGCCTGAGGAATTGTGTTTCCTGAAGGCAATGGAGGGAGATGGATGATACTTTCCTCCCCCATCCCCACACTGATGCACCCCACCATGGGTACTTAGCTCTTTTATGTAAAACAGATCATCATCGAGCTGCAGTACAGGCATTCGCTGACCCTACTGCATACTGTAAACAGGTCAGACCATACAAGACAGATTTCCAGTTGGTCCTCGCAGGCTTTTATTGCCTTCCTGATCAGAGTGTGTGTTATTCTAGACTCAGAACCAAGACAGGACATTTAATAATTTACAGGCATTTCTAGGGGGCTTTTCACTGCAGTATCTGAAGTGCAACAGGAAAATAGGATAGAGAAGGGAAAACCCCATCAGGGGGAGGGATAGCTCAGTGGTTTGAGCATTGGCCTGCTAAACCCAGGGTTGTGAGTTCAATCCTTGAGGGGGCCACTTGGGGATCTGGGGCAAAATCAGTACTTGGTCCTGCTATGAAGGCAGGGGGCTGGACTCGATGACCTTTCAAGGTCCCTTCCAGTTCTAGGAGATGGGATATCTCCATTAATTATTATTATTATAAACACTGTAGTGAAACCTAGTCATGTTCCCTTATAGCACAACCTCCTCTTGCCTGTGTGATCAGAGATAAACTTGTTATAACCATCTTTTAGCCTAGTTATCCACCCATGGCTCATGGAGGGATTTCTGTCCACATGGGCAAGAACACCACAATGCAGATGGGCCACAACCACACTTCCAAACTGTGTTTAGAAATGGTTATTTCTGTAGTGTGGATGGGGGAAAGAGGCTGTGAGAAATACACACTACACCGGGCACAAATACACTGATTCACAGACTGTGTCTACCTGGGGATTTGCACAGTTCAGCAACTGGTGGCCAGTAGCCAGTACAACCTAAGTGCAGGTGAGCAAGCAAAGCCATGATTGTTTAACTCTATTTCAAGCAGGGGGAAGCAGAACTGGTGTGAATCCTGGCTTTCCCTGTCTACACTTGGGGTTTGCACTAGCACAGCTACGTAAACTGCTCCTACCAATAGCTGAATGGCTAGCAGAGAGACAGCCACAGAAAACAAAAGTCCTGTTCAAACACCTGATTCTGTTACCCAGTGGCTGGCCGCCTAGCCAGTCTAAAACATTCCGATCACATGAAGTGCCCAATGCCTTGCTAACCAAGCACCATTAGTGCATAATGGCAAACCTCTACTGGATTAAAAAATGTCCAACTCCAAGCTGTAATAAAAAACAGTGAATATAAAAAGCCATTCAATGAGGAACAGACCTTGCTTTCTTCCTCAGAACTTTTAGGAATTCTAACACACAGTTTATAAGCACAGGGATGCTAGAAATTAGAAACACAGCTGACAACAAAGGCACCGCAGAGAAACCTAGTGGGACAAAGTTCAAAAATGACTCCCACAGAACCATGGGCAAGTGCTTTGCAGACTAGAGTGCTCTTCCACAGCATGCACGGTACTGTGTGAGGTCTTAGAAATATCTGCCAGTTTATACTGTACCAAGCATTTGTCCAGTCTGATCAGTCTGACTGAGGATAGAGCATGAAAAACAACGGTGACAAGAAAGGACATTATTAAAGGAGTCTTAGCTGGACTGTGGGTCTGCTCAGAAACAAAGTAATGGCCTAGTCTGTACAGTACGAGGCACAGTGCAGTACTTCATTCGAATTCCCCTCCTGACAGTCTGACCCATCCCTTTTCCTGTTCTAGAGACTGACACAACTTTCCATCAAAGGGCAAGTCAGAACAATACTGCACTGAACAAAGCAGCCGTGTTCTCTGGGCTCCCTTGCATCAGAATTAGCACAACTACTGTATGCTGGAGTGTTAGTCCAGTGAAAGGACAGCCCGTTCCAAAGGGATATGGCCAAGTTGCAAAGTCAATTCAAACACTAGTAGCTTTTTATCTCTGGAGATCTGTGGTCACAGCCTTGCTAGGACAATAGGAATAGGAGCTGGTGATTTCTTACACTAGTCAACTTTTGCCGTGGATTGGCAAATCTCTGCTCAAAGATGCCCAGCACCCAAGTAGCAGGGCAGAACTGAGGTTTATTGGCAGAATTAATGCTTCCACAAGTCCTTTGCTTTCATGAAGACTTAAGTCATTTTTTAAATTAAAGCAAAAGGATTGCTCTGTGGGCTACTGGATGTGTGCGCTCATTTAGAAAACCAATTTGCTGTGGGCTTCTGGCAATCTGACGATCCAAGGGCAAAATACAAACATATAAGAGTCTAAGGAGAAGCTCACGGTGTGTAAATGCTGACTGAGATTAGCACAGAGCCTGGTCTCCACCTACTCATGCAGGCCCCATCACTGTGGGAGGAGACAACCTGTGTTAAGTATCTATAAAGCATCTATCACCATGGGATCTTGGTGGTATCTCCCCGATGCCCAAGCACCAGCATGGATTACTCACTCAGAAACTGGAGAGAGCTCACTGCTTTTATAAGCAAGCCAATGATTTGGTTTTTTACAAGGTAATTATACAGTTAAAGTTCACGGCTGGATGGATGTTCTACAGGGAACCCAACATGCTAACCAGCAGGGTGAGTGGTTAGGGGATGGGCTGGTGTGTGACACTGACTTAATGCATGTGTGACCATGTCTCCCTCTAGTGTCTGGGCTCAGGGACCATCGCAATCTACTACAAACTCACAGCTAAAGGAGCTCTGCTATGAAAGAAGCCTGTGGTTTTGGTGCCGAAGATGCCAGGTTCAATCCCCTTGATGACTGTGATGTCAATATCCATAGAGCCAGGTTTTGTTACCCTTGGTCCCCTGCTTCCAGACCAGTTGGGGGCAGGAGCACAGATCTCAGCAGTTATTGCTCCTGGAGTGGGGAAGGCGGGATGATATCCCACCATCTGCGTGCACATTACTCTGACCTTAGGTTAGACTTACTTATTATTCCCCATTGTTCCTTGCTGCCAAGTCTTCATGTCTGGGGACTGGTACCCAGGGGTCGGTGGAGCTGACTGGAGCATGGGGCTCTGCGAAGGAGGAATCTGCGGCGACATCAGAGGGCTGCTGGGGCTGAGTGACGGAGCGAATGCAGGCTCGCTTTGCTGACCCATGCCTGGGAACAACACACAGACGGCTTCACTGCAAACTGTGCAGACGACCACGCTGTTACTTAATAAGCTTGGTCTTAATCCCGCGGGACCCGAGTCCGCCACCTTTACTCACGCAGAGCATTACCTTACTCTCCCAGTAGTGTCTTGTGAGGATTTCCCCCTTTTTGCAGGTGCTGGAGTTAAATCTGAAGCATCAGCCCGGACTTTTGATCTTAGGCCTCCTCCCTCCCCCTTTTTTTGGTTGTTATCTGTATTACCCGAATATAGCATTTTGTAGCCAACTGGTGGGGGGAACCCAGAAGTTGCTTCCCATAAACAGAGGGGTATTATTCCAGAACACAGCTGCCTGGAGAAGGAGCTGAAGTAACTGTACTGGAGATGCATCCGAAGAAGTGGGCTGTAGTCCACGAAAGCTTATGCTCTAATAAATTTGTTAGTCTCTAAGGTGCCACAAGTACTCCTGTTCTTTTTTCTTTGTACTGGAGAACAAGACAATGTCATTGTTGATTTTGCAGGACAATTTTAGGTGGTTTCCAAAGCTGCGATAGCTGTGGGGTAATTGTTTCTATTGATTAATTATAGAAACCAGATCTACCTTGCCAGATTCAAACTGAATTCTTTTTACATTATGGAAAAGTGCTGCTTAAGTGTAAAAACATGTGGAGCAGGTGCAGTACGAAGATGTCCATCTGCAGCCAATTCTGGACAAACTCACTGATTTAATCTGAGCCACCCACGTAATCTGTACACAGGAAATAACCTCCATCTGCAGCTGATTTCCGATACCTCATCAGAGCACACACAAGGATTTGGCCTTTTTCAGACATTTAGCTTCTGAATGTATATTTAAAGTAATTTAATTAAAATGGCCACTCTGAATTTCTCTCTCTCTCTCTCTCTCTTTTTAAAAGGGAAATACAATTATTTACCTACATGGTATCAACTTCTAGAGAGCTCTACTTGGTCTGAGGGGTACATTTGGAACATGGAGCCTGAAGAATGGGGTACCTTTCCAGAACTTGCAATACGTGCACTGAGATCCTCAAGTGAATGGCACTAATGAAATGCAAAGGCAGCATGGTCTAGTGGACACACAGCTGGACTGGCAGTCAGAAGAACTGGGCTGCAAACCTTGGGCAAGTCACAGCCTGGCTCTGTGCCTCAGTTTCCCCATATATAAATTGGGGATCATGATTCCTACCCACCTTTGTAAAGCTCTTGGAGATCAGCGAATGAAAAGCACTGTGTAATTATGACCTGATCTGGATTTCCTCCACTTGGGACTAAGGGGTACACATGGAAGTCATTACATTGGCCGTGCAGTATCTTTATTTACTTGCATCATTTGTTGCCCCCGCTCATACCTCCACACACTTAAAGCATCACCTGATGAAGCAGGTACTGAACGCAGACTCCACTTTAAGGGCACAGCCAAAGACGTACCTGACCCCGAGTACTGGAAGATGTTCTGCTGCATGGGAGGGGTCATCCCGGCACCAAACTGCCCTCCAACGTTCCCCATCATCCCTCTGTTCACCATGCTGCTGCGACTGGCCAGTGCTGCCTCTGGGTTCGACGCCAGCTGCGAAAAGGGGCTGGTGGAGGTGGGAGGGTTTCCTGGATTCGTACCGTAGTTGGGGGGGTAGGGGAACTGCTGTGGGGGTGCCTGGGGGAGGCGAGCTGCCCCCATCTGCACTGGGAGTCCAGCCGAGGGAGGAAGGTTGTTCCCGAAGCTCTGCTGTCTCATTAACATGGCTCGCTGCTGCATTAGCTGCCGCTGCCGATGCTGCTGGCTGTACAGCTCTCGCTGCCGCTGGGCCAGCATCTGTGCATTCAGAGGTGGCTGCAGAGGAGGAGGTAGACGTGAACGTTAGGATAACTCTGCCCCCGGTCAGGGTAATTGTACCACATGGGGGGATGGACAAGTGACCTTTCCGGCTGCCTGTGGTGTCAATCATCATTTTGCAAGGAAAGCTAAAAACCCCAAAGAGCAATTGGGGAAGCTCTGTAAATCTGCCAGTTCGTGCAGATCAAAGGCAGAGCAGATTGGAAATATTAAAGAGCTGCCTCTGTCCATGCTCATTCCTGTAACTGAATGGAAAATCTCACATGCTCACCCCATAAAAGCTTGAAAGACCCAGGAGAGTTGGGATTCGGAACACATGTTCTCAGCCTGGCTATGAACAGGAAACCTTTGCAAGGGGCTCCCCATCTGCCGGGGCAGCTACTGGCCAACATTTCAGCTTTGTGTCATTTCATGCAGCTGCTAACGAGAAAAACGCCTGTCCAAAAAAGACCATTTGTTGCTGCTTCAGATCCCGCCCTGCTACCACAACCTTGCCTTTAACAACAGTTGTTGCTGGACTCTCTCAGCACAATCACTCACTTCATACCGCTCCCTGCACACAGAGCGGTCTCCCTCTTCCCGTCATCCCGATCTCCCCTCCAGATTCCCTTTCTTCGTGCCTGCCCCCCCCCCCCGCCCCCAGCCACCTGTCCTGCTTAGTTGGCATCGTAATCCTGTCTTGCTCGTATCACCGTATAATCGTTACAAATGACATTTTAAAAGCCCGTGGTACTCAGGGGTGAAACGGGGGGAAGAAAGGTGGTGGCTCTCTTCCAAGCTCTGCCAACATGAGTCACCAAACTGGAGCACCCCTCACTGTAGAGTCTGTCAGCACCTTCGGAACGAGAACCTGGGACCATGGAGGTTCTGAGCTCCCAAAGCTTCATCCCCACCAGGAGCTCAGGCCAGGTTTCTGTTGGGGGACCCGGTGAAGCTAGACACTGCAGGAAGGAGCACTGAGCAGAGCCTGAGTGGCAGCCCTGCAGCTCACTGATTGGCCCACGCCGGTATATAAGCCAGGAAGCCATTACAGGGAGCTGTCTGAGCAAGGACACAGACTGCCTCCTTGCTTCCGCGCTAGACCTCGCCTTACTATGAACCTTAGACTCTGGTTCCTGTCCCCAGTTCCTTCCCAACTCCGCTACTTGGCTCTTTTCTGTAACCTGGTGCCTGACTCGGACTTCCTGGTATCCTGACCCAGCTCAACCCCGACTACACTACACGTCTCCTGATGGCAACTCGGTAACTAACCAGTGCCCACCGGCCGCCCACGGCCCAGCCCAGCCCAGTCTGCAGTTGTTCAGTATGATCGTGTTTGCTCTCTGGACTCTAGCAGCTCAAAGTACTCAATCACTTGGGCTTTAATGTCAAGCCCTGTCCCCAACCTCTCTCTTTGTCTGAGTTTTCTCCGTTTAGGATTTTTCAGCTCTCCTGGGCAGGACCTATCTTCCTACCTGCCTGTGAAGCGCTCGTGCACACGTTACATTGATGTGCCGTACTAGATCGGCAGTGATCTAAGCAACTGCTGCCATAGACCATTTCCCTTAGCCTACTTTACAAAGTGCACACGTAGTGAGCCAGGCAGTGTCGCCTAGTGGAGAGGGCACTGGGAACCAGGAGACTTGGGCTCTATTCCCTGCTCTGTGACACTGGGCAAGGCCCTCCCCTTTCTGCGTCTCCGATTCCTATCCCCCCCCCATCGGTCTTGTCTATTTAGACTGTAAGCTCTCTACAGCAGGGGCTGTGTGTTTCTCTGTGAGCGTCCAGCTCCTGGCATGACGGGGTCTCTTACCACCACCATAATAATGACAACAGTGAGAAATGTGAAAACTCCATTGCAGAGCATGCTATTTTCAAACATGCAGAACTTGTTCAAATCAAACCCCATTTTCACAGAGAGACTTAAAGGCGCTTCTTGTCAGCTGAGGGCTATTTCCATGCCATAGTTCAATTCTCTAACCCAGCTATTTTGACTGTAGGGCTGTTCAAAACCATCCCTTTCAAGAATTTTCTATAAATGATGGGTTTGTTTCCCAAATGGCTGAACCAGATTTGCTCAAAGCTAATAAAATATCACGGTGGAAAATTTCAGCCCAGAAGAGAAAGTTTGAGAAAGTTAGCAGCAGCTGAAGACAAAGCATTACAATGGAAACTATTACATAGTTTTGTCTGCAGCTATGGTGCCTGAGAGAATATCAAAGATGTCCAAAACTCATCAAAACAGTTTGGAGTCTTCACAGAGATGTTGGAGTCAGTAATGGTTTGGGGGTGGCAAGATAGCACCAGCACCAATAAAAACCCGCCATATGGAACAAAGTTACCAGAGTATGGCTACACCTTCCACCTTCTTTTCCCCCTATACTGAGCAGATATTTGATCCCACTTTACTGAGAATGGGATAGAACTCCTGGACCTGGGGGCTTTGCAGGATCATTTCAAAGATTCACTAGAGCAGGGGTCGGCAACCTTTCAGAAGTGGTGTGCCGAGTCTTCATTTATTCACTCTAATTTAAGGTTTCGCGTGCCAGTAATACATTTTAACATTTTTAGATGGTCTCTTTCTATAAGTCTATATTATATAACTAAACTATTGTATGTAAAGTAAACAAGGTTTTCAAAATGTTTAAGAAGCGTCATTTAAAATTAAATTAAAATAGCTGATCTTACGCCACCAGCCTGCTCAGCTCGCTGCCAGCCTGGGGTCTGTTCACCTAGGCCGCAGCGGGCTGAGTAGGGCCTGCGGCCGGGACACCAGACCTGGG